AAAAATGAGTCAGCAAAATATTCCTGACTTGTCTGGAGACAGCCGAAACCAGTTAACAAATAAATTAACAATTCTTTCTAAATAAAAACGCAGAGTCTTTTGAAAAATATTATTTTGATAAAAGGAAACATGAGTTTTAATACTTACCACAGAAATCTGAAGGCAGTTTCTCCAACTTCAGAATCCAAAATTCAGATGAAGCCTGAAAGAAGCCTAATGGCTGCTCTTGCGCTTACTTTTCCCTCCTTTTCAGGTTCTTTTTCCCACAATGCACTGCAGTAGTTGAGAAATACAGAAAAATACCTGTAAATGACTAATACGGAAAATTCCTTCACGTTTATACAGTAGATTGTACTGTATTTGTACGGATTTTTTTTACAGTGTAGTGCGGCTCCGCGTGGCTTGGGAAAATAAATTAAAAGTATTTAACTGAAGTGTATTTTATTTATGTTAGTTCTTTTTTCAACTTGTAGTTCTACATTGGAAGATTATTGTGATATTGAAATATAAAAAAAAAATTATATTTTATTATTTTTTCATCGCTCAAAATAAGCGCCACACTCGCGGAAGCCGGTGTACCCGCTGAAACGGTGTGCATTTATCGAGAGTTTCAACCCCAGGTAGGCCAATTATGGATCTTCGGATCCACATTATGTCGGCAGCTGTTCTCCACCGTGAACTATGTGAAAAAACAAACGCCGCTCACGCCTCACAGATGACAGCTTACAGTCCTGCGTGAAGATGAAAGTGACTTCGTACGGCCCCGATTTGCAGACGCTGTGCGCAGAGGTTCAGGAGCAGAAGTCCCATTGTAAACATACCATGGCAGACCCGACGATGTCTCCATGAACGTGCTTTTCAGCATCTCTATATTGACCACTTTTCACATACGGTTGCTGTACGCATACAGCCGGCTGTAGCTTTTCAGCTCACAGCCCGACACATACCAACAACAACACAACAGCATAGATGGCACAGACGTTAAGGCGGCGAGGTGTGATTGCGGGTGGCGCTCAGGTGCGTCCGCCTCCCCTGCAGACCACGCCCCGCCACACACATTAACCAGGTAAAATACATATTTAGGCAGAATTTTGCAAATATCAATTTTTCATTTTTTAGCAACATAGTGCTTTTTTTCCAATTATTTTTTAAAAGTGAGGTCAAGGCTCCAAAAGCCCAAAGGCGATATGAGGGTGGCGGCTCACAGTTTTTGTTTGCTACATGGATCATTTTAGTTCAGCGGGGTGTCTTTCCTTTTGTTATGTTTCTTTAAGAGTTCAAAATGTGTTAATTACATTAATAAAATGTAACTTTCTCTGTAGCACTTCATGGATTTCATAAGCAACACACCTTAGTTTTTCCACACAAAGCATAAAGGTAAAAAACAATATATATTTTCTTCAATGTAGATGTCAAAAAGTATTTGCGGCTCCCAGTGTTTTCTTTTACGTTGAACCTGGGCCCAAATGGATTTGGTGAAACTCTTCAGGCCAAAGGACCTGCAAGAAGTGATGGTGGGCAAAGACTTCAGTGACTGGGAAAAGCTGAAACAGATAAACAGCTGTTAGTGACACAAAGATGTAATTTGTCTGCAATTCTTTTATCACATCCCATTATTGTGAATGAGTTATCTTTGGTATATCTAACAGTCTCTTTCACTATGATTAGAACACACATTATGAAGGTGAATAAAGCGCAGACCACCTCACCATACAGATGTTTTGGGA